GGTTGCAACCATGCAATTTACGTGATTTGTTATGAAAAACGTATTATTTTCGATTTCAACCCAAAATTATTATCAAGATTACTCTAAAAGATTATGCATTTATAATTTTTTTCAATTACAATTGATTGCAACGTTATTTTAACTTTACATTAGTTGATTGTATTTTATACTCTCATCTATTTACATGCTTCCTTAAGGGTGAGTTGTATTCACGGAATATAAGATTATCTTTAAGAATAAAATTATCGGGATGTAACATTACTTTGTGAATGTTGTATTACTCTGTTTGGTTTACTTAGCAGGAATATAAGATTACAATATTTGGTTAAAAATATAAAATTACTTGGATACATATTTTACCAAATTATCATTGTGATATATATTTTTTAACAATAAAACTTTAATATTAAATTATAAATATTTGAATGAAAATTTATAAAAATATTTTAATTATCACACTATCTAAATTTAAAGGAAAATACATTTAATATATAATTAATATAATTAGTATATAAAATTTATAATTTTAAATAGTTTTCATAAGTATCAAATTTATTTATATAAAATAATATAATATAATATAAAAAATAATATTGTGGCTCGAGTGGACAAATGTATTAATTTTTAATGTATAAGATCTATTTTTAATAACTCAAAATTAAATATTATTTTAAATAATTATATTTTAACAATAATAATATTTTCACATCATAAAATTATAAAAATAATTAATATAATATATACTAAAATTATAAAATAATTTTAACCACTTAAATTTATTAATATTTTATTAAATTAAACTATTTTTATATTCTCACTATTTTAACTAAAAAATATTATTATTAATAATAAATTATTACATGTTAATAATTTTTATGTAAATCAAATCTGATTGTATAATTTCGGAACCTCAAGCCAATCGTCCCCCCCCCCCCCCAGATAGACGAGGCTTACCAAACAGTCCTGTATTTCTTTCACATCAATTGATAAGGTAGGCATGCCTTTCCAAGCAATTTTAAGGGCACTTACCCTTCAACTTTGTAATGGCCCCTTGCTGTCAGGTACCAATGTGATGTGACCACCACAAGAAAATACCTTGTCAGTTAGTATTAGTGCTACTTTCTGCGTACAAATTTGTATCCAACGAATAATTGGAATGACACCTCATAACCCTTTACACTAAACAAAAGACAAAACACCAAAAACTATTCATTTTTCAATCAAAATACGTACATACATACATGGTATAAATAAAGTTTCCATTATACATTTATACTGTAGCTGGCTGTGTACTTGTCTTGTACTAGCTAGTCAAACTGAAGTTGTAAAATTTGAGAGAAATGAAAGTGCAAATGCAGCATGAACTGCTGCTCCTATGGGGAACACATCCTCATCGATAGTGAAATAAGGACTGTGTGGAGGATGTACGGCCCCGATTTTCTCATTGTGGATGCCTAAGAAGAGGAATGATCCTGGGACCTTGTCCAGGTAGAAAGCGAAGTCTTCGCTCCCCATAAATGGAGGAGCTAGTTTCGTGTTTTCTTCTCCTACTATCTCCCTCAACACTCGCACGACGTGTTCGTGTACGTTTTCGTCGTTGACGGTCGGAGGAATCGTCGGATTATCCTTTCCCGAGAAGTCGATAACGGCAGAGCATCGATGTACGGCTGCTTGAGCTTTGATCACCTGGTAACAAAAAGTTGGTTATAAATACATGTATGAATATGTATATGAAAAATCATAGTAATACATTATTATAAATGCTATGGTTTCTCATGCTCTTGTCCTAATCAAAGATGTGTTATACTTTCGGAGATGGTCTCCAAAAATGTCCAAGCCTCTATTAGACTAGACTCGTTGAAACTATCAGCTCTCTACCAATTGAAAGGGATGAACTGCCTAACGACGGACGAGATAAACTTGTTCTCGTCAACGCAAGAAACAGATTGATAATTCAAATTCCATTTGTGATTAATGCATTTTGAGATCACCTCTTCTATTCTGTCCCTAAGTGCGTTGAATCTCTTGTTACTGAAAGCTCTGAAGGTTCCTGCTATCGTTGTTGAATCTGGGATTACATTGACTGCAGTTCCACCATGAATCATGGACACCGAGACCACCTGCAGCATGCAATATACTCTTGAATCTTGAGTCAACCGATGCATTATTATTACATCAAAACCCAATGTCTGAAACTACGTAGAAACAAGCAAACCTGAGAATCTAAAGGATCGGTTTCCCTTGAAACTATGTTTTGTAAACTAATAATCGCCGTCGAAGCTGCCAAAATGGGATCAATGGCGTGTTGGGGGATCGCAGCATGACCTCCTTTACCACTAACCGTGGCTTTAAAGCTCCCACAGCCTGCTAGGAATTCTTTAGCACGTGTGGCGCACACACCGGTGGGATACGCATGCACCAAATGCAACCCGAAAATGGCTTCCACGTTTTCAAGAACGCCCTCTTTTATCATGTCTTTGGCCCCTTCACCTCGTTCCTCAGCTGGTTGAAATATTAGGACTACAGTTCCCTATATCAATAAAAATTCAAACTTTAGTTCGTATTGGAGTTGGGGCATAATTATCTATGCTTCTTGACCTGCAACCGGCATCGGAGTTCTTGCAGTATCTTGGCTGCTCCGAGCAGCATGGCAACATGGGCATCGTGTGCACAAGCATGCATTTTGTTATCTACTTTGCTTTTATGCTCCCACTCCACCAATTCCTGCACGTTACTCGAATCAATTTCTTTAATTTGCTATTTGATCTGTTAAAGCTGAAAATCACAGGGTAGAAATCTGTTTCTGTTTCTTCCTTTTTTCTCTCTCTCTATATGGGAAACTGAATCTTAGAAAAAAGAAACCAGACCTGAATAGGTAAAGCATCCATATCAGCTCTGAGAGCAGCCAAGGGTGGAGAACCGGAGCCAATTTCAGCGACGACGCCGGTTTTAGCCACCGGCCAGCGATAAGAAACGCCGAGCAGGTCGAGTTCGTGTCTAATGAGCTTACTGGTCTCAACTTCTTCATAAGCAAGTTCAGGGTGTTCGTGTATTATCCTCCTTATTCGCTTCATCCAATCCACTGTTTCTCGATCGTTTGCGAGTTCAAGTATCCGGTCTTTGATGGATTCGTTCGGACAAGGTGTTGCTGTTGTCGGGGTGAAAGAACGGAAACAACAATCATCTTCGTTGTAAGAGAAGCAGAGGGAAGATAGGGTTACGGAGATTACGAAGAATTGCTGAAGAGTTCCACTCAAGGCCTTCATGGCCCTCTAAATTAGCTTGGATTCGAGCCACCCAGTATTATGATATAAAACTGGGTGGGTAGTTAACATTAATGGTAACCTTTTGGGTAAATTTGCTGATTTAGTCATGCATCTATTATTTAATTTCTGTTTTGATCACATAACTATCTTTTTTCAAAATTATACTTGATATTACGTTTTGGTTCTATTTTAATTACTCATTATTAAAAAAATAAATGTGATTACGATGTGATATTTTTTAATTATTTTTCAATACTGACATATCATTATTAGCATCACCATTAACTTTTTAAGGGGATGATCAAAACATAACCCATACGTAACTTTAGATGTGATTTTAAAAAATAATTGTTAGATGACTAAAACAGAAACTAAGTAGATGACTAAATAGGTAATTTATCTTAAAAAAATTTCAGGCAATCAGTTGAGTTGCAATTCATTAGATTTTTCACTATAAATCTACATTTCATTTATTTTAATAGATTTTATTATTTTTTGGTTAAAATATGTCCAAAGTCCTTTTACTCTTCATATATTCGAAACTTAGACCCTCTACTTTTATTTTTAAAAAATTCAGTCCATGTACGTTTCTGATTTAATAAACGAATTTCATCGATGTTTTCGATTAAACTTGAATTTTAAATTTTTTAAAATATAGGATTATACTTTTAAAAATAAATTATGAGGATCAAAATCTAAATGAACATAGAGTACAGGCCTTATTTATTTGATGAAGTGGGCAAATATTACACATTTATCAATAAGTTCACCCATATCTTCTATGTCAGTTAGTAAATCCCTCATTTTTCACGTTTTCTATTTTGCCACAAATTCCTCGATTTGTGGCACCCCTCTCTCTCCTCTCTTGTTACCAATTTTTAGATTAAAATCACAATCTTATCCTATCGGAATATATTAATATTTTAAAACAATTAAAACAATATATTTTATATCTTATAATTATTTTATTATATTTTAAACTGTTAAAATAATATATTTTATAATAAGTTTTATATTTTTAATAATTAAAAAAATATTTTAACAATATAAAAATAAAAATCCTTAAAATATTAAATATATAAGAATAAACTGAAATTAATTCGGGTTGAAGTCTATTAATTAACTGAAATTTTTAAATATTTAATATATTATTTAACATTAATGGTGTTTAAACTTCAATTCTAACTGAATTAACCTACCGATTTAACAAAATAAATAAAAATATATAATATATTATATATATTATTTATAATTTTGAATAATCTAATTAATTCGGTTAACCGATTAATTAACCAAACTCAATTTAATTCAATTAATTTTTTTTGAAAAAATTTATTCAATTATCGGCTAAAGGGGAAAAAATCCAGTTAATAAAATTTAGATAATTTGATTCGATCGATTAATTGAATTAAGTATTTGAACACTCTTATATTTAGACGTACATGTAAGATGGAATTTGTAGTTATAGCTATTGCACCTAAATTAATTGAAATTTAACTAAAATTTAAAAATCTAATTAAAATAATTTAATCACTTGAAAAGTGGTTTAACTAAGATTTGATCACATCTTTGAGATCACTTGACATCTGGAGGAAGATCTTAAGAGGATATGTTTAGTTCTTCAGCATCAGAAACAGAAAGACTGTTGCAAAAAGACCATCCATAATAGAGTTGTATCAAGCATAATTGTCCAGGCTACCAGTTAATTTCATGCCGATTACAAGCAGTATTCTAGTCGCGATTACCACAGGCGAGAAAAAATGAAGATATGACAGATGAATAAAACGGAAAAACGAAGAAGAAGAAAGAATCATACAATAACAATGAGTTGTCATCCTTGATATGCTGGAAAAATGGTTAAACCATCTTTTTCACTTCATGATCAACATAATATGATGCATTCTTACTTGGCTGCATGCATGTTGAACCACAGAAAAAGAATTTGGGTTCACGAAGAGAGTTTTCAGACACCGGAAGCTGCTTACTTCTTTCTAACCTGATACAATGATCGACGGGATTTAAGGTTTCGTTAATCGTTGTCTGTTCATTCGAATTGGAGGGAAGCTTCCTAGAAAACAAAATACCATACTTTACCTGTTCAGCATGGCTTTCTCTTGTCTACTTTTAAGTGTATATTATACCATTTCTTCTTCTTCGTTCTATCCCTCGTAGAATGTTCCCCGTCTTCTTTGGCCTCTTTGGAGGCGGCCTTAGTCTTGTTCCTACTCGAACTTCGCTTAATTAGCGGAATAGTTGTGTACGAGGCATGAATCTCATTCCTTCGTTTGAGAAGCTCGTCGATCTGCGAAACCGTCATATAGGATGTGATCGAGAAATTTATCCATTTAGTCGTGAATTCATTTCTGGAGTAGCTTAGGCACATAATTCCCACATGTTAATCTCACCTCTTGCGTTTCCTTTGTGCATCTGCTTGTCATCTCAGTAAACTGTGTCAGGACCTGCTAACACATTACATGAATATCGACGATAAAAACATGGTTGAATACAGACAAGAACATTGTATGTGCGAAAGTAAATACTTCTCTGTATTCGGTTTCAAACTTCGACAGCTCCGCTCGTTTGGACAGAATATCCGCTTCCACCGCTCTAAGATTCTCCTTTTCCTCTATGAAAGGTGCAGCACAAATAACTTCTACTGTGTAACTTACACTTTTGAAAAAGTTGTCACCTAGAAGTTACGTGCCAGAATTATTAAAATGGTAGTAAGCTTCGTCCACGCCGATAAACTAACCGGCACAAGACCTCCGAGAGGCATATAATTAAAGAGCTAACCGTAAACAGCAAATACATGTGTGCCAGGTTTTAGTTCAGTTATTTCACATGGTTGAAATCCATCCAGCTTTTTGAAGAAAGCTGCATCCAGGTCCTTCGCGGCAGATACCTACAGCGAAGCATATCCAAAACCAGAAGAACAGCGACAAAATCAAACTTCAGTTTCATCGTGAAGCACAACCATGACATATCCGTTAATGATAACTCACCGAGTTTACTGCTTGATCCAAGCAATAGACTGGGAAGCCAAGGAAATACATTCCGGCAGATGTAACTTTTCCTGTTTTGACACTGTCCCTCTACACCGAAAGGGAACAGAAGTAGCTTTAACTCGTTATGCAACATATAACGGATAACTTGCGAATTCTAAAAAGAGAAAAGCGGACGGGAGTTCGTTACCTGCAGTGCAAGGCTTAATCCACCGGTCTCTTCTAGATCAAAATACAATAACTGCAATCAATATAAACGGTAAAACTACAAGGCATAAGAACTTTCGATATGCAGATGATATTGAATCCATAAGTTCTAAGTCACAGTCTATCCACCTTGAACTTGCTTTTCTCAGATGATTGTACTCGGCAAACGAGCCCATCTCTTGCTTCTTCTTCTGTTATTGTAACAGAGTAGAAGTGAGCACATTGTTTTTCAACCTGTTAAATGCATACGAATTCGGTGATTGCATAAATAATCAATAAAAGTACTAGAAAAGAACATGAATATAATTATCTCACCTTCCTAGAAATAGGTTGCCCCAGAAGAAGTGGGTGAATAGTGACCGCACCATTAAGTGCCTCCTCTAAAACGGTTGCAGATACAGTCGTCTTAATCGGCACACCAAGTTTGCTATTCATACGAATCAGTTACAATAATACAGTCGACTTAATCCTCAACTTGAACAACGGAACACGTTAACTAGTATCATAAGGACAGGGGGTTACCTAAAAAGTGCAGCAAACATGGTGTTCACTGCCCCCAAACTTGAAAGATCTAGCTCCATTTCTTGGTTATCAGCTTCAACAGCCTATTCAAAGGGAAAAAAACAGCACGATCAATTCTTGAAAGATCTAATTTGGCTAATTAGATCCATGTATAGGTTACCTCAAAACCAGCGGTGTCATACTGGCGCCTTTTATCTGGATCGGACAAGATATTATAAGAAAATGTGACCTCCTTGAACATATCAGCTGCAACAGGATCATTTCCATTCTTATCAGGATGGTACCTGAAACAGAATAAGAGTAGCATTTATAACAGCTAATAGGAGCGAGCAAAACTCGATTCAATTCAAAAAACCAACTCCACTCAACTCGACTAACTCAAAATTCTTTAACTCGATTCAACATGACTAACTAGAATACTCACCCCTGATTCCTCGTCATTTTAACACTATAGAATATCTATATAACTTCAATTCTTACTTTTACCAACAAATTTACTCTTTTTGCAATTTAGTCCCTCAACTTTGCATTTTATTCAATTGAATTTTTTACTGCAATTTATTTTACAAATTCTTTCTTCTCATCAATTCCTTAACTTCTTTATACTCTGATCATTACTTTTTTCACAAAAGCATTTGACTTATTAAATAACATTGTTGTGAAGAACTATATATGTTTATATTATATGATTAGAGAAATTTTTTAAATTGGACCAATCCACATTACAACATTATAAATATTTACAATTGAATTTCAACATATACTCAAAAACTCGACTCCGAAAAAAAATTCAATTACATTTTGAATCCTAAAATAGGAATAATCAACTTAACTAACATGAAATTTTTTGACTTGACTTGACTCAATTTGATCGAACCCTCACCCCTAATAGCTAAGCCACCTAAGTAGAGCAAGATCTAAAACGGTGAAAATTATAAAAGAACTCACCTACAAATATAAGTCCCAAATCACGTTTCATTTACCATAGCAGCTAGCTGGAAAGGAATATAATCAGTCCTCAATACTTACTCTCCCACTATACTCCATGTACGAATGTAAGTTTACCTTGTAATCAACCATAATTATGACTAATCTTAAACCAGAGAATCCTGATGTATTCTAAACTTGAACAAAAATACCACGAAATCGAGCATTTCAGGACCTCTCAACTAAAAAAAATAGAAAGAAAAAAAACATACTTTAGAGCCATTTTCCGGTAGGCGCTCTTAATTTCCTGATCAGTTGAGTTTCTGGATACACCAAGCACCTCATAAGGATCTCGACGAAGATGCTTGGCCAGGCCGTCGTTCCTCTCCGACTTGGATCGACGTGGCGGCATTTTATACAAACACCACCAAACAAAACAAAAACTAAGTTTTCCTTCTTCTTTAACGTTTTTTCCAGTGAGAAGATGAAACCCAGAATTCAAAACCTTCAACTAAATTCCGAAAACGGAATGAAATAATTCCCTTCTCTTTCCAATTCAACAAAGCAGGAAACTTTTTTGGGTTTAAAAAGCAGAAAAAGGAGAAAATTTTCAGGTGCATTGAGAAGAGTATAGAGAAAAAGATAACAACTCCATGGCACCTAAAAGCTGGAGCTTTGGAGAGGAGAAGCGAGAGAAGAAAGAGACAAGCATATAGAACGAAAAAATTGGAGGGGGAAATGATTGGTTGTACCGCTAATATTTTTAATATTTTCTTCTTCTTTCTCATCTTATTTTTTAAAATTTACACTTTTCTCTCTCTTGCTTCAAATGTTTTAAAAAACGGTAAATTACATTTGAGAGTCACTAAATTATTAGTAACATTATATATGAACTATTAAATTCCAAAAATGTATGAATATGTTATTTTATTTATTGGTTGTGATAAATAGATCATTCTAACGTTGTGTATAATTAGGAATGATAATTTGATCTGCAATTAATGAGTACATACTTGATAGGGTTGATATTTTCTATCATGTCTGAATCAAGTCGGATAAAGTTTTGTAAATACTGAAAACAATCGGATTAGGTCCAAGTTTAACGTGAAAAATCTTTGATTCGATTTCACCCTAGATAATAACATATAATTTTCTATATGTTTAGGGATAATTCATGTAATATCTCTCTCTATTTTTTCGATTAGTTTCCTATTTTTAAATAAAAATAAGATTTTCTATATTTGTGTCGATCACATCGTGTTGAATGTAGACTTTTAATTTAAATTTTGAACCAAGTTTAAAATCAAATATGATATCTATAAATTCGGATTCAGTTCAAGCGGAGGAATATGATTTTCAAGTCGGATTAGATTAACAAAAAATGTAACCTAACTCGACTCATTGTCAACCATATTTATAATAAATTTTAATTTTTTAATTATAATTGAGCGACATGATTTTTATTATCATTTGATTTTTATAATCGATGAATAAAATAATTTAATTATAACTAAAAATTTAAAATACATTACACACTTAACTATAGAATGATATGTTTGTAACTATTGATAAATAAAATAACTCATTTGTAACTTTTTAAAATCAAGTGAATAACAATTTCATGATTTATAACATAATGGGTAAATTATACCATTGGTAACTTAACTATTTAGTCCTTTTTCTTTTACAATAAATCTTTTAATTTTATCAATCAGATTACTTAACTATTTAATTATAGTCAATTGAGTCACTAGCCGTTAACCATTGACAAAGCACTGACGTGACAATTAAATATTTTGATATAATTATATATTTAGTCTATGTTATTTACATATTATTTTAATTTAATATTATTTTTAACATATTTATTATTAATTGATGACATATGACATCAATCGATTAAATAATTAAATTTATTTTAATTTGATATATTTATTTTCACCAATTAGAGAATATCACGTGTCACTTTTGATTATAAGAAAGCAAACCACTCAAAATGGGGTCAATTGGATTTTAATCGAGGATATCAAGCACATATCCAATCACTAAGTCAAGTCTACCTTTGGTTAAAGTAAACAACACTACGCATACATTTTGTATCTTATTGTATAAATACTTAAATTAATAATATTTTATATATCTTTAAAAATATTTTACTTTTACTTAATTTTAAATATATTTATTATTAACTTAATTTAAAGATGTTTTATCACTATATTAATTTAAAATTATATATTTTATCCTTATCTTAATTTTTATGTTTTTAAATTTTAAAAATTTATTTTATTTTATTTTATTAAATATATCTAAGAATATTTTATTCTTGATTTTAAAATATTTTTAAAAATTAAAATATATATTTAAACTAAGATAAGAATAAAATATATATTTTTAAATTAAAATAATAATAAATAGTCTTAAATTAAGTTAATAATAAAATATATTTAATAACAATATAAAAATAAAATATATATTTTTAAAGATATAAAAATATTATTAGTTTAATTATTTATACACTATTATACAAAATATATGCAAAATGTTGTTACTCTAAACTAAGAAGTGGACTTGGCTTAGTAATTGAGTATGTGCTTAAAATTCTTCACCCTTGGATCAAATCTCGTTAATCTTATTTTACTTGATTTGTTTCTTACAATCTAAGGGTGACATGTGTCACCTTCTAATTGATAGAAAATAAATATATCAAATTAAAATAAATTTAATTATTCACATATAGTACTATTCGATTAGATGATTAAATTTATTTTAATTTATTAAAAATAAGATTAAATTGAAAGAATATGTAAATATAAGAGACGAAATGTATAATTATAATAAAATATTTAATTATAATGTCAGTATTTTTGTCAAATGATAACAGTTAGTAGCTTAATTGAATACAATTAAATAATTAAGTGGTTTAATTAACAAAATTAAAAGATCAGTGATAAAAGTAAAAAGATTAAACATTTAACTGATAAATGCTATAGTTGTGCACTGGACTATGCGGCACATATCTGCTTACATTGGCACGTGTCAATTGATCGAGGTACACGTGGGTGCGTATTACATATTTCCTCGGAGACCAGAAGCAGATTTAGGGATTTCTGGATTTAAGTAAGTAGACTTTCTAAATATGAAGATTTCACAACTTCACGGCATATTAAGGTAAATGAAGAAGACTCCACGACTGGATGGCATATTCAGGTAAATGAAAAAGACTTCACGATTGCACGACGTCTTCAGACAAATTGAGAAAACACCAAGAGTGCATGGTGTTTTCAGACCAATAAGAAGCCCTAGATCATGAAATAATATGGTGGATTCCTTATATAGAAAAATAATTTTTCCCACAACCCTATATGATCGAAGAAGCCGTGAAGTAATTGTTATATATACATTTGTATTTAGGGTAAATTACAAATTTCATGACTTAACTTTACTCTCTTTTTTATCTCATTCACTAACTTTAAAAGTTTTAAATTTCCTTACTGAACTTAATACATTGAGTTTTTTTTGTTACTGGGCTATTTTGGTCACTCCACCGTTAAGCAATTAACAGTTTCAAAAATGACATCATTTTTAAAAGCAAAATTTTCACCCAAACGACATCGTTTTGCAATATAACAGCCCAATGCATCTTTATATCCAATTTATTAAGTTCAGTGAGAAAATTGAAAAGATTCAAAGTACACCGAGTGAAATAAGAGAGAGAGAATAAAGTTTAATTACTAAATTTGTAATATACCCTTGTATCTATATTCTTACGTTAGTGATGTTTATCTTTTATCATAGACAATGATATCTGTTTATATCCATCGTTTGAACGAGTTGTTTGATTGAATTTTTAACTTTATACTTGCACAAATTTATTTTATTTTTTAATGACTAATTTACGCATTTTAATTAATTTAAGCTAAAAAATGTTGGAGGCAAATTTGCCACAAGGAAATGGGCATCACGTTGTTCTCTCTTCGAGAGAAAGTTAGAAGTCCTAATCAATCCAACCACCTAAAGGCCCAATGTGGGTATCATCTAAAGCTTAAAACCTAAAACTCATTCTCAATTAAACCTTAATTTGTCTATCAATATACATATATACCATTAATGACAGGAAATGAAATCTTTTTGTTAGGGTGGGGAAGCAAAGGGATGACAACATACCACCTAACACATGACCCTATTAACCCTCAATCATTCTATATGGCTTTATAGAGACAAAGATGTGTCAACCTTTGTTGTCTGTCTTAGCTTAAAATAAATTGATTTACTTATTACTTCCATATGATTGTTTTCCAAGAGATACCAGCTTGGAATTTACGTCAATAATTGATAAATAAAGGGTACAACAACACCTCTAAAAAGCTTCAATTAAATATAAAATTATATTTCAGCCGCTAATATTTGATTTATTATTATCTTTAATCTATATTCGATCTAATAATTGATTAATTCAAATCTCGGATATTGTAAAAATCTATTATATTGTTCATTTAGTCCATTCATAATCATGTAATTAATACTATTCATTTTGCAGTTATGAACTTTAACCAAAATTTGCTTTTTGGCCATTCAATATTTTTAGGGTAAACTACATATTTAGTGCCTAAATTATCAGTTTTGGTCAATTTTAATACTTAAATTTTTTATTTTTTTTTTAAAATCATACATAACATTTAGTTTTAATTTTATTTTAATACATTGTCGTTAGAAATTTAATGCGTTTTTACCTAAACTATCAATTTTGGTCCGTTTTAGTACATGAACTTTCAAGACTTAACATTTAAATTGGAATAAATCAATTATCGTTTTAGTAAATGATAATTGATTTATTCCAATTTAAAAGAATTTAAAAAAACAAATGATAATTGATTTATTATTATGAAAAAATTGAAAATTAAAATAAAATATTAATTCAGAAACATTCAACATTAAAACATAATTCACAGGTACATGTTATAAAACGAGATTCAAATTCTAATATAAAAATAATATGTGATTTACATGTCCCCTAATTACACATGTATCATACTTTGCAAGTAATGTCGAAGAAACTCCCATTATCGATAAATGCATAGGGTCGTTACTTTTAACCTAAAATGGTAAGTAATTGAATTAGATTTGCAGAAGTTCAATAATACACAACTACCAAATGATGTTAAAGGCCAAACAAATATATGGTAAAACATAAAATTTTCTTAGTGGTCCATGCATCTACATATTCTAGTGAGAAGTTAAAATTTCATTAATTAATTCTTCGTGGGTGTTTAGATGGGAGAATGTGGGATTTTCATAGGAATGAAATCCATATTATCTCATTTGGTTAGTCGGGAATCTCATTCTCGGTAATGTAAGATTATCAATAGTGGATTTTTTGGAGTATATTACCGGGAATGTCATTACCTCCCTTTCCTTAGGTATTGTTGGATTACCGACTTTTTGGACTAAAATGCCCTTAATTTTTTTTTTCAAAAATATTCTTCTGTCATTAAATAATAAAAATTCTACGAAGGTTAAATTGCAAATTTATCCTTAAACTATTTTAGATTTACAAAAAAAGTCTATAATTAAAATTTTATATGAAGTTTAGTGGTTAAAATAAAATTTTACCCTTTCATTAAACATTTTTACATTTTCAATTTTGTAAAAAAATTATATAAATTTTATGAATTTAAATTTTTTAAATAAAAATATATAATTATTTTTCAACTTGTTAAAAAAATATAATAAGGACAATTTGGTCAAATATACATTCCAATAATCTTTTATTCTTTTAACCAAATACGATAATATTACATTCCTCTAAACCAACCAAACACAAAATACAAAATTTCCAGTAATCCTATTCCCTGATAATCTTAAATTCCCATTGGTAATATTATATTCCGTGAACCAAACGCACCATTCGAGTAATAGTTGAGAACCTACAGTTTAAAGAAAACATTCAGAATGATTCAGGAGACTGAGTTAGAAAGTTTAGTGTCCCATCAATGCAGAGAAGTGTAAATATAGATTAAAACAGTAGTAACTTGTTTAGTAAAATAGATTCTAAAAATCACATAATTACCCTCAAACTGAATATCGATATTCAGTTCCCCAGAACAACATCCATAAAGTCTTATCCTAAATCTATTGGGCGTAGGAGTCTACCTAAGGGGATACCTTAGATTCGTAAGAACTTATCATAGTAGAGGCATAGGAGCTAACTTAAGGGGTTACCTTAGGTTCATAAGGACTTACCAAAGGCCTATTGAGCTATGAGCCATCCTAAGGGATGCCTTAGGTCCATAAGGATTTATCAACTTGATTAGAGCTATACATGCAAAATCTTCATATCACATCCCGGATAATACCATAGTAAAAAAAATCATTCACTAAACAGTAATATCGAGATCATAAATCATATATACTTTTGTATCAGAAATAGAAGTAAGAGATCGTACTTTTATTTCAAATAACAGAGTCATACTTTTAAAATCATAAAAATATTCATTTGCACAAGGTATACGTTAGAGGACCCTGGTCTTTTTCAAATACACTTGGTGATTATTAGGAATTAAAACACCAAACTTCTATCAATTTTGAACTAATTTCAGAAATGAGATCAATATTAAAAAGAGTTTGATAGTTAACAAATCTAATTAGACACTCGAAAGTTGATACATCAGGATCATTTAATATACAAATATATCATAAGGATGGTCAGACTCTGATGCATTGAGATTATTCAGGATACGAATATATCAAGAGTGATCTCATCAGTTAGGCCTCCATGGACATTTTAGACATTATGATTCCAAGAGATAATTTTGGTAAATCCGTTTAATGAAGGTAGAATGGACATTTGCAATATTCAAGATCTAGGTAATGCAATATTTATCAAATATTTGAATAGAGATACTTTTCGAATATTCATTCTTGGTGCAAATTGCCTCATGTCAATGAACTGATTACCTCCAGAAATTATCACTGTAGTATCCATGTTATTCTCGTATTATAACAGTATTAGGAATGACCGACATACTTAGATCGAGTTTTGTTATTTTTCGGGGTGCTACAACTCTTAAATTTTATTAGTATTTTCAGAATTTATCCAACGACATTCACTTAATCCAAATCACAAGGGTATTTAGGTTATTTTAGAACTAGAAGGTATTTCAGACATTTCAAATCATTTAGGCAGATGGATTACTTCCGATAAATTAGTCTTTAGATGTTTATTAAAAAACCAGAAAATCTACGTATTTTAAAATCTCAAAGGTTAGAAAGTGGATATCAGGATTCCATAATGATTAGTAATTTAACAAGTGACTCAGTGGTTTTAACGGTTCAAATATGAATTCTCAATTCGTTTCCACTGTCGAGGCCAATCCTTGTTCTTTTCATGCTTTAAGTATATTTTCATCATTTCTCATCCAAGTGTTACAGCCCTTAAATGTTTTAACAATAATATTTTGGATTTAAGGTATCAATTTTAACTAATTTATTATTTAATCCATAAAATTAGAATTTCTTAACATTTATTGAATTTTTAAACGAGTCATTCGAGTCTTAGTCAATTTAATATTCTTTTATCGAGATCAACATGAGTTTAAATAACCAATGATAATCACATGTCTAAACATATTCATTCATGTATTGGCCAATTACCAACGAGCTCCATAAAGCATACAAAAGGTAGCAAATTATTACATCGATTCTGACCTAATTGCTTCACCATTTAAACTCCTTTCAATCTTTGTTGAAATTGAATTTGACATCCCATAATATCTGGGACACGTAGCAAAATGAATTGCATCAAAATTGAAACTTAATCGCAAAAATCAGATCGAAATTAAAGGTAAAATATTGAAAAGAAGCTCACTAGATTTGAATTTGGTGAAAGAGACCCCAAAAATAGACTCAGAACGTCGAAAAACGTCAGGATAATAGTTATGAGAAAAAGTCAACGACCGATCAAAGGTGGCTTGGCGCGGCACGACATCGGTTCGACTCCAGACCAATTTAAACCGATTTCTAGAAAGCTATCCCATCTCCCTTGACGAAGGTGTAGTCCTACAAGCATGGCAGCGAGTGGGATGCATGTGGCATCTTTGGTGATTGAAATAGCTCCAAATTTTCTAGAATTCGAAATTAGTTGATTTTAAGCCAACTTACCATACTTGATTTGCGATGGACAGCGACGGAGATGTCTTTTATGAATGATCGAAACACCTCGTCGTCCACCCCTCACAATGGCAATGACAACACCACCACATCCAATATTGGAATAAGCGAAACCTCCAGTTGGTTCACTTGATGCGGGCAGTGAAAGTCACCGGTGGCTTGAAGGTTGAGAGACTTTGTATTTTTTTCCAACGGTTCTTCAAGGAAATTTTCTTGACGATCGGTGCGATCTCACGAAGCTTGACGGATGGGATTTTGGTCGTAGTTAGAAGACGATTCCGATGACGAAGATGAGAAGCGTTTTATAGTTTGGGAGGAAAAATGATTTCTCTCGAAACTCTCAGGCATTATTCAGATCAATACCAATGGTTAGGATAACCATGCCTTATAGTTTTATTATTACTCTATTATAAAAGGTATATTAGCACAAGTAGTAAAAATTGTGTTCAACATGCACGGGGTTGCGGATTCAGACACCCGCAGTCTTCAAAAAAACTGTTTGTTTTGTACTCTCAAAGCCATTGATTTGTATAAAGTTCATCTTTTAGACTTCAATCTCTTCCCTACATCAACTTGGTCCTTAATTTCCCTCTATTTTCTTTAATTTTGAATTCTAACTTCAATATTTAATAATTAAATCTTCAATATTCTTTTAAGGAACTCATATACTTGCAATACGACATCGTTTTGATTGCACACAAAGAACCCTTTTTCTCTAACCATATATTTACACTAAAGAACGGGCTCTTTTCCTTTTCTCTCTCCTCTTTTTAGTCTCACTTAAAAAGACTTCAAAATTCGTCTATGTACTCTAGGCCAGCGCCGGAATCCTGCAATTCCGGCTATCCTTGTCGAGGCAATCGAACCCCTCTACTCTCACTGCCGGATTGTTAACAAAATTTGCTCGGATGCAGCCTCCTTTCCTCGAAGAGGAAGCCGGAGAGCCGGACATAGGCAGGCTCGTAGACTGCTGTGACAGTGGGGTGATGACCTTGTCGTCCCCAAATCGAGCATCTTGAATTAACGGGTTAGCTACTCTACTCGGCGGCGGCCCACAAAAAAATGGGGGCGACAACGCTACTTGTTCCGCTCTACAACCACCCTGCTAAATTCCAAAACCAATCATCAGATGAGCGGTTCTTCTCGTAGATGAAATACAATATTCTTCTAGAAATTCTTTAGTTGGCACTTTAAACTAACGGTTTTATTTTTAAATTTTCCCCAACAAACAAATCACATGCATCGAGACGTCGCCATTGTTCCAAAGCTGAAGATTGATTTAATTATTTTTATAATTAATGAATATTTTAGTGTTTCCTTAAAACAAAGCCCATTAAATCAACTTTGCTTAGTCCGTTAATTTAATCAAGAGAAAGAAGCGTACCTTTGTAAGAATCATATCCAAAACATCACTCCCTGCTTTTGAATCACAAAGCTCGGCTTGATGGCTGAAAGTCATCAAACAAATTTGTTACTATTTCTCTACTCTTAACAAATTTGTTAAAGGCGGCCATGGAAATAAGAGGAAATTACCTAATTTGCCATCTGAGGGATCCAACAGGGTGGTCCTTGAAAGAGGTGTTTAGGAGACCCAAACGACGTGGTTTCGGGCAGACGACGGTCCCCCTCCGATCCGTAACCATAACCGAAACCGAAAAAGAGCTCTGCAGATGCTCACGGTTGCTTCCAGTAGCGGTTCGTTGGATCGCAAACTGCTGCATCTTTTGTTCTTTTGACGTTTTTTTAACTATTAGAATCCGATATCCCTATTTAACATAAAAATTAGGTCAATCGAACATCATCTTCTACAGAAACCGAAAAAATTAACCGTAGACTTGTTGCAGTTTTCTTTCTAGGATTAAGTTTCCACGATTAATGAAAATCAGTTATAGATCGCTAGATCTACAGAAGCCAATAAATAAATACATAGATCTAACTCCAAAATTGAGCCGTAAAAAAATCTAAACATCTAACGAAGCTTAGAGAAGTGATTCAAAAAGAAAAAAAATATCAGCTTAAAATTATAAAATTAGGTTCTCGTGAGGACATGATTCAAATCGAGGAAGAAACAGAGGAAATGTTGAAAAGGCGTTGTTCGGAAGCTGAAAACAGAGGAAAACGGCACAACAAATTAAACACAAAACAGAGGCGATTCTAGCTGTACAGCTGCGTTGAAGAACTGTTGGGGCAAGGACTAAACATGAACAGAGGTCGATATAAAAAAAATTGAAAAAAAAAATCTAGAAAAAGTACTGAGAAACAAGAGAGAGGGAAAACGGAGCGGGCGAGGTTAGGCGAGACAACAAACAAGTGTAATGATGGAAAAGAAAGGCCGCGTGTTAATTATAGAAGAGGAAGAGACAAGTGAATCACGAAAATTGGTAATAAAATGAAATAAATTAATAAAAATAGCAGAAGTCTTAGGGCAACGTGGCAACACGACACGTAAGAATAGAAAATTAAAAAAATTACAATAAAAAAAAGGAAAAGAAGAGCCCGAGTATATTGTACTTGAATAATGAAGGCTTCGAGTTCAATTTCAATTCTTATTTTGATTTTCTATGATTTTAAAAATAAAATTGATTCTCACATGCAAAAATTGAATATAATTTTTATTAATTGCTATTATTTGATATATCGATGATTAAAATAAAATTAAATCTGATAGAAAATCATATTATATGTTAAAAATTATATTTCCACTAATATTGTTTAGTTATGAGAATATTAGAAGATATGTCAATCGAATTTATATCATTTTAATTTTTATAAAATAATATATGTTTAATTTTTTTAATCATTGACAATACACATATACTAAAACAAACATAATCAAATATGTTCCTGAGCCTAGACAAGAGGGTCATTTTAACCTTGAGGTCGTGAGATCGAGTCCCGCGGAGGACATTTCATAATTCGGAGGTCTCTTACGGAAGCTGCTTTCAATCTGGTGTTGGGGGTAGCCTACTATCTTACCTCTCCTTACCCCATACATATGGGAAAAAGGGAGAGCCATTTATATAATTAAAAAGAATAAATTATCTATTTACTCTCAAACCTATTAATTTATTTATGTTTTGATTATTTAATTTTTTTAAGTCATACGTAACGTTATATTTTGTTTTGTTATTGTTATTTATCATTATAAAATTAACAACGATATTGATGTGATATTTTTAAATTATTTATTATTTTTAAATTAATTATTCTTTCATTATGTTTTCTGTTCAAAATTTGATGTATTTATTACATAGTTTATTAAACGGAATAAAAACGTAATTTAAAAAAAATATTTAGTTTTGCTTATTATTATGGTTTAATTTTTTTGATACTTATTATTAGGGATCTAATTTTTATGTTCATCTCAGGCCACTAAAATCTCATAAATGAGTCTGTACACCATTACTGAAACTCAGAATATTTAAGAAGAACAATATGCCTTTAACTAACGAGATCGGTTGTTGGATTCAAATAAAGTATGGTACTTTATTAATTAGGGACATAAATATATTTATTTTTCAGTTTAGGTAAGATATTAAAGAGACCCATCCTTTTGCTTGACCTAACGCAACCTTAAGCCCTAAATTGAATTTTTTTGTGGAAAGTTTGGAAGCACCAAATCTAGAACCCAACAAGCAAAACAGTGGTGGTGACATTCTCAACAATTTTGCATTCCCAGTTGAGTAGCCAATCCGTCCAAGCAAACCACCATCTCACTATCACCATTAATCAATTCCACCCAACTCTTTACTTCTTAGAGACCCCTGCATGACATCACATGTATAATCAAAATTAAGGATGAATGAAATTTGACTCGATTTTTTAAAAAAATGAGTTTTTCAATTCGATTCAACGTTAGAAAACTCAATTTAATCTGACTTATTCTTATAATTTCATAAACTTGTCTCGAAAAAAAATTAAAATAAAGTTTGAGTTATAAAATACGATTTGAATAATTTGAAATTTTTAGTAATTAGTAGATTGGAAGGATCGGATGGTGACCTATCAATTTTTTGGCCACTAGTGTTGTCTGGTTCTTAGTGCATCTGTTTAGGAGAAAACATTGGGGCATTCTTGATTTATTTATGCCCCCGTCATGCCTTTTCCTTTTAGGTTTGGATGTATGAAATTAACAGAGGTGATTATCGAGTGAGTCGATTGTGAGTTTGATAGTGTTCAACTCTTGTTTATTGAAAGTTGTTGTTCGATTTGACTTTTTGCTCGTTAAACTCGTCAAAATTTTACTCGGTTCGTGCTCGTTAAAAAAGCTTTTTGCTCAAATTGTTGCTCATTAAGCTCACCGAAGTTTTTATCTTATTTTCTTAACTATATATAAAATCTACTAATACTATAAAGAGATTAATATAAACATATATTAATAAATTGGCTCAAGGGTCACCTTTGCCCCTATAGTAGACCAAATTTATCATTTTTGTCTCTATCGTATTTTCGCATCAGTTTAGTCATAAAAATTATTTAATTGCATCATTTTATATACTCCCCTAACTTAAAACTCTAAATTATAAGTTAGGGTTTAGGGTTTATAGTTTATAGTTTAGAGATAATGAGGTTATGATTTAGAGTTTAGGGTTTTAAGTTAGGGGTAATGTAAAGAATGATGTAATTGAGCAACTTTGAGGGCTAAATTTATGTGAAAAATACGATATGGACGAAAGCAAAGAGACAAAAAGGTTTGCCTACTAAATTTAACAAAAAAATTTATCAAAATTATAAATAGGGATTATTATTGAGTGTAGTAAAATACTAATTAATAATTTAGTATTTTGATTGCTTATTAGAAAATTAATAGATTAACAAATTATAATATTTTTATTAGTTTTAATAAATTGGTAATTTTTTGGATAAAATAATTTTTTAATATATATATTAAAATTTATATAAAATAATAACAAGTTGCTCACGAATTTATCAAATCAAATTAAATTTTACTCAACTTAACTAGTTAAATTCTCTAGTTCGAATTACTCATGAGGTAAACATCCGATGAATGACTAATCTCCTCAAATAAATCAAGCGTTATTAGCGAGACTTTTCCCTTCTATTTTTTATAAAATAATCCAATGATACTACATATTAACAACAATAATTATTTTTATCACTATTCTTCAGCCTTTGAATTTATTGGATCAACCTATCTAAAATAAATAAGATATTAATACCAATTTAAAAATAAAATAATTTCCTCAATTTAATTTTTTGAATTAGATTTATTCAATATTATTGATAAAAAGGAATGATGTTCTCTCTGGAAGTTCTAGGTTCGATCAGATGTGTTTGCAGAAAGTGCGCTAGGTTCGATTAATTGTGTGTGCATGGGGCGTGTATGTTATCAACGACTAAGAAAAATTATGAACATATATTATATTATAATCACCCTAGATTATCAAAAGAATAAATTTTAAAAAGTATATCTTATCTATTGAATCTAGTAATCACCCAACCTTGTATTAATTTGAACCAATTAAATAAGTTGAAACAACTAATTAATGGATATGTGATTTTATGCTCATGGATAGTTTCCATGGCATTTGAATCTGATTTACGGTTCTCGACGGTCTTTCAATAAGCTTAATATCCTTTTGTGGTTTGTTTGCCGATGCAATCAAATTTATTTGTATCTATTTTTTTATTCGAGTCTTTTGGTTGGGTTTTTAACTTTTTTCATGTATAGTCCTTCTATGATTTGAAGTGGCTAGTTTCTATGTCATAAGAAAATGCTCAAATAATTTATTTAGTTTACAATAATAGTTGTAAAACTTTATTGTAATTTTGGATATTTCCACTTTTTAATAAGACTAACGACTTCTATTAGAAAAAAAACATCTAATTGGACCAAGAAAATGTTAGAAATTTTGATTTATAATGTTGATTCATATAATTTAAGTAATTGATAATTGTTGTTGTTGTACACACGATGATGATTAGTGTAGTATTGAGGAGGCAATTATCAGGTGTAAATCCCTCCGTCCCATACCGTGAAAATATAAGTTTGAGTGGTGTTATGTGTAACTGAAAAGTAGAGGGGTCTTTCGGTTATTTTGTTATTTAAAAAACATAGTGGAATCACTTTTTTAAAATCTCATGTAGCATATAACTTTTTCTTTCTCAAGGCTCTTTCTTTTTCTCTTAAAAGAAAATAAGAACACTCTCAGTTTTGGGGTTATGATTCTTTCATCAAGAATCAAACAAGTCTTGATATCATCACAAGGCAAATTGAGGATTTTACAATATTGGGATTGGATAACATTTATTATTTCTTGTTTTTGGGATATTCAACTATCATAATGGAATCATCAAGTAAGTTTTCATTTCTTTTACTGTAATTCTTAATAATTATGCCATGAGCTTGATTTGGTTGATTTAATTACCCTATCAAGATCTTTCTATGTTAATTGCTTCTGCATGCAAAATTAATTGATTTTAACATTTGGCTTCAGAGCTAGGTTTGATAGGAATTAAATCACCAATTTAGGTTTTATAAGAAATTTGGGTATTTTTTTTTATTAAAGGTTTCATAAGAAATTTGGGTATTTTCTTATTGAAGATTAACTGAACTTGCAAATTGACAATTGATTATGATATTGATGTTAGATTGATTGTTAATTGATAAGAAACAATGATATAATCCCAATTTGGTGGTGAATGATGTTGTCGTGGTAAGTAGAGTTAATGACGTTGTCGTGACAAGTGTAGGATCGCATCAAGCAATTTTGGATCATTATTTAAATATTTAATATTTTAGTGAGTACGTTAGTTACCAAAGTGGCCCTCTCGAAATTCATTAAATGATTTATATCATGTTTATAAATATTTATTTGATGTAGCATCATAAATGACATCTAATAATAATAAACATTTATAGTTATTAACATGTAGTTATACAATTATCCAAAGGTAGATCTTACTCATGGTTAATAACAATTGAAATAGGTTATGAACTTTGTTTAATTAATATATAAG